TTTTGATTGATTTGATTGGTTAATTATCACGGGAAATCACGGGTAGATCTACCAATCATACGAATGTCGTCCTATGAATTGACCCCTGTGTATGTGTAGATCGTCACTAAACGTTGCACAGATCGAGATCAAGTACAGAAATAAATAAATAAAAAAAAAATTTAAAAATCTTTTCCTGCTCAATCATGCCAGCAACAACGTACGATTACTTTTGGGAATTGGCTTCTTTAGACTCTTCTATTCGAAAAAAAGCTGCTAGCGAATTAATTACCCATTTACATGAAAAATTTGATAACACAAAAGCAAATATCGATTCAACTGATTTCAATGATTTTTCAAAGTATTTTTTTTTTTTTTTTGAATGGCTTAAAATATGTAATCTACGCGAATCAGTGTTAAAATTCCTTTGATACTTGAAGGGTTACGGAGTTAATGGAAAAACTATTTGGACCCGAAATTGCCTACTCATTGATTCGTCTAACAAGAGGTTTGGCAAGTCCACGTGCAGGCGCCAGACAAGGTTTTGCTTTGGCGCTGACAGAGGTGTGCGATCTGTTGTAAATGCCAAAATAAACCTTCAAATCACAATAGAATTGAAGATTTTGATTTTTTTTTTCATATAGCTTATTGCAAATCTAGATCGCATTACATTTAAAATTGTCATTACACTCATCGATGAAGCATGCCCTATCTCTGCATCTAAAGATCAGGTATTTATAAATATAATTGTTCTGCAATTGACCCAGCTGTGATTTTTTAGATCAAATTTTATTGTTCTTTTCATATAGGAAGGCCTTGATGTCATTTTTGGTCGTGTTTTCGGCTATATGGCTATCGTTCGATCAGGCCTTCTTTGGCGAAAAAGCTCATCCGAAAGGGATTATTGCGAGACTATCAACGGTTTACTTGCTTGTGCGAAGTGTAAACCGTACGTTAAAGAAGCCTGCTATCATGTTATTATTTCTAGTATACCTCAGGTAAGTTCATGATCTCTTCTTTTTTTTTTTAGTATATTGTTGAATGAAGATTAAAATTTTTTAATGCTTAGTTGAAGATGGTACCTTTCGAAGAAAAGGCCATATCTCATTTAATAACAGTTTTGCAGGATCAGAATGCACATGGAATTAGGAATCCTGATGACGTTAATTTAGCACTTACTATCGAGGCACAATATCCGGTATGAGATATTCTTACAAAATCGATATAATCTGCTTTTTTCACTAACGCATTGGCACGCTCACCCTTGCACATTTTGGTAAATTGTTTTTTTGGTGGACCTTTGTACGCTGTTTGCAATATTAGCAATTCGTACATAATTCTCAGTGGAAGAAAGTTATATTGCACAGCTGTGAGAATTGTGAACTTAAATGGTCCGATCCACATATTCTTCATAATGATAATTTGATAAAGTTGTCTGAAGCTATTCAGGTATTTATTCAGGTATTCAGGTATTCAACATATTTTCATTATAGCTATTTTATTGTTATAATTTTCTTCAACTCAATTAATAGGCGAAAACAGGAAATCTCATCACTGAAACTCAACAAAATTATGAAAATAGAATTCATTCTGTATGGAGCACAATAATACAATGGCTCATATCTCCTTCTGGAGAAAGTCACGAAGAGCATACGGTCACATTTGAGACATTTTGGAAAGTGGTAGTGGATGGTAATTATAGCTTATTTATTTTCTCAAAGTAACTAATGTTTTAATATAATTTATATACTTATTATTTTGACTTTTCAGAATGTCTTTTTCACGAGGATGCTACACATCACAGAAAATACTGGGGATTTCAATTATTCGAAAAAGCTCTAATATCATTGCCGTCAGAAAAAATATCTTCAATATTTACTCCAAATCTTTTACGAACGTTGATGAATAATTTTCTTGATAAAACACGATACTTGCACGAAGCTGCCATGCATATCGTAAGATTGTTAACGAATTAAAATATGGTTATAAAATTTCATCTATATTCCTTCCTGTATTTAACATTTTTTTATATAATAAATAGCTGTCCGTCTTTGAACAAATCGTAGGAGAAAATAAAGATAAAGCTTTAATAATAGTTATACAGCTTTTAGGTCATAGTTACAACAAAAATTTCGATGGATTCTTTAATACTAAAATTATTAAGAAAATTTTTGGCACAATGGATAACGAAGCACTTGAGCAATATTTATTACATCTTAAAAAAATATTTTTGCATCCGAATGAAATTCATTTGAGGTAAATTCATTAGATTCTTATGATTTTTAAAGGAGCCTCTTATTTTGAATTAATGTTTCAAACCGCAATATTTACAGTGAAAATAGGTCAATAGAACATCATCGCCAATGGATTATAAATCATGTATACACTCTTTTAAAGGATCATTATATAAAACGTCACGAAGGATTTTTGAAATCTGTTTTAGACTTTTTTACTATGTACGGATTTTTCACTTCAAAAGAGGCAAGAATTTTTCGGGTTATTTATTTTTTTTCTTATTCAATTGAATAATCTTTTATATAATATTTAAATATAGGTTGAGTCGCGTCCCAAAACCTACAATACACGTTCTTCAAAACGGTTGAAGCTCAACTCGGGAGCATCGACAAATAATGTAAAAATGGTCGATAATTCTGAAGAAACTCATGTCTTGTTTGAATCACCAATACCAGAGCTCTCAGATAAAACTCAAAAGTGCCTTCGGGAACGTTTCTTTCATGCTCTTGGTGAATTATGTACTATCCGTTCTTCAGATAAAGGTAAAATATTATATTGCAAATCTTTTATTATGTGAAGTTTTTGCATTACTTTGAAATCGAATGTTTCTCTTTAACTTTCTCAGAAAAGTCTATCCATCAATTAAATGGTACCATGAATGACGGTGTGTCATGGTCATATTATGCCGTAAACTTAATGAAGAAGTATTATGGCGATTCTCGAATAGAGCCGTTGATCGTTTTAAGTGATGAAGCTCTACGAATGAAAAATGATGTCATTATACTTTTACAACAAATCACTAATAAGGTATGGACACTGTTGTGTTCCTTAACACCATTATCTTATAAGATAGTAAAACATTATTTAATATTTGCTAATGGGACAAAAGGTATTGAATAAACCATCAAAAAATGATTCTACAAATACCTTACAATACAAAGGTTTTATATTACTGTTCTCCTTTTCAATTCTCGCGCTGTACATTGAGCCAGACGAGTCCATGGGCGCCCTAAAGGTTAATAATTATCTTTTTTAATTATAAAATATTTAATATATGATATTAGACTAATCAATTTATTATATAGGATTTACGGATTTGCTATGATAGAATGTTTGATAAAAAAAAGAAACCTTCCAAAAAATTGAAAAATGCGAGTGAAAGTGATCAAAGTATGCATAATCCTGCTGATGTTATTGTAGATATTCTACTTGGATTTCTTGCAAAACCTTCTTCGTATTTGCATAATATGTCGGAACAAATATTTAAGATCTTTTGCGGCAATATTACAAAATCATCATTTGACGTAATGATTGAAGTATGTACTCTCTGTTGTTTGTGCAGATGATTAATAATAAATTTTATTTTGTAACTGTAACTTTGTTATTCCAGCTTTTAAACAAAAAAACGGATGATGAAGACGATCAAATGATGGATATTGACGATGAAGAAGGTAGTGGTGATGATCTAGATGATGAAAGCATTGATGAAGAACTATATAATGTAGAAATTCATAAGCCAGAAATGCAAGAATCGAAAACTCCAAGTTTGAAAACCGTAGATAAAGGCAGTGATGATAATGAAGATGATATTTTAGATAACCAAGATGAAATAATGGGAGAAGTAGACTCTAAACTAATGGCTTACTTTAAACAGCAAAAGCTAGAAAAGACAAAGAAAAAAGGTATAAGAGATTATAAGAAATGTTAAAATTCTTATCAACATTCTTTTACACTTGTATATTGATCCAATTCATAAAATTATGTTTATTAATATGTATCTAGATGCAAAATACCAGAGAATTCGGTTTAAGCATAAAATTATTGGATTGCTACGGGTCTTTGTTCTGTCCCAACCAACTAGTCCATTGATTTTTGAGCTATTTGTTCCTTTGCTTGAACTTGCCAAGAATGCGAAAACTGATGAAATTGCAAAAAGCGCATTTTCTCTTGTAAGCACCAAAGTTAGCGTTATAAAAGAGATGCCCAGTCAATTCGATAGTGATCGTGTACTCACTCTATTGCAGCAAACTCATAATATGGCTTTAAAAGCTTGCTCTTGCGACCTCGCAGCTTTGTGTTGGAAATCTAGCACTTTTCTACTCAAATCTCTGATCAATTATCATAAAGATGACTTGAACTACGACTCTGAGAATGAATGCTTGAATAAAGATATAAAAAAGGCCATCAACATTTATGAGTCTACTTATGAGAAATGGATTAAAAAGTCTGGCTGTTTACATATGAAATCATTTTCTGAGTTGCCAAATCACATACCTAAAATTCCATGGCATCTAACGAATATTTTTCTTGGGTTTACTGATCCAAATATTGCAAAGAATCCAAAGAAAGTAACGATCGCATATGATATTTCAGCATCCATTTTTAATAATGTTGCACCAAAAAATAATAAGGTAAGAGCATGTTGTCATAACAACACGTTATAATGACTATTAATATGTTGCTTTATAACAGGAGCCGATAGATGACAGTGTCATGAATGCACTTGTGCAGAGATCACGAGAGTCTTTCAAAGTTACAATTCAATTTGTATCTCAGGATTTGCAATGTGGAAAGAAATATTTTGATTCTCAAACGTTAAAATCAGTGATGAAATTTGCAATTATAACCATGAAAAAAACAAGTGTTAACATGCCGAAAGACAAGGTATGTAAAAAGAATTATTTTCTAAACTTATGCGGTTAAAAAAAAAAAAAAAAAAAGGATTAAAAAAAATTTTTGAATTTCTTAAATGTAGATTAAAAGTATGTGGGATGCGGACCATCTTCAGCCGTTATTGAAAAATATCAAAGAGCTTCCAAGATACAAGTCCTCGCAAATGATTGGAAATTATATTAATGAAATAATTCGTATCATTTCATGATGCAATAATCATAAGTGGTTTTTTTTTTTTCCTAAAAATTTTAAAAAATTCTTTTTATAAATTCTAAAATGCAAATTGATTTCCTTTATTATTTAAATTGTATCAATAAATATATATTAATTTATAAGTGTGATTAAAACAATTATATTCTTACAAATGGTTGTAAATATATTACGTCCGAAATATCGTTGGAATATATCGTAATTTATCATTATCTCTAATTAAAATGAAATTAAAAGAAATGAAAACCTAGTTTAATTAATGAAATAACTTTTAATAGCGTTGTTGTTGCAATTGGATATTTCGTTTTAATTCTTTATTTCGAGTCCATGAGCTTCTAAATATTCTAATAGATAAATAACAGGCATAAGCAGAAGTTACAATGCTATTGGCACAAACACTATTTATTAAAATATTCTCATACCTCATCCTTTGGATGGCGAGTATTGCGATAACGGCACTGCGGAATTTGTTTAATAACGGTGAAGTAACACGGCGAGGATTACGCAGGTCTGATATCAAAAGTAAAGTTGCCTGTTCACTAAATAAATAAATAAAAAAGGTAAATAAAATTGTAATCATATATTTATACAAAACATTTAATGTTTATAGCACAAAAGTAAATACTAACCATGATTCCATACCACCAAGGAGTACCAATAAAAATTTTTTCTGATAGCATAAATCAGCGCGAAATCTAGATTCCCGATAGCATTTTGCTTTAAGATATCGTACTTCATTAAGTAACATTTTACAATCTTCAACATGTTGCATTCGTTCACTAATTAGCTCAGATTGATATTTGTGCCTATATTTTGCATCCTAACGTGCAAATAGCAAATAGTAAATAATTCAATAATTCAATTCCTTATTGCAGATTTTCATATAGTATATACCTTTTCTTCAAGCATTTTCTGATATTCTGGAGGAATATTTCTGCTTTCCCTATTTAGATAAAATGATTAAAATTAAATAAATCAACTTTAATCGCTATATAATATTTATAAAATTTACCTCTGGCCGTTTTCTATATTACTAGAATTAATGGCTTGCATTTTTTCTATTAATGCCAATTGTTGTTGTTGAGTCGACTGAATTTCTTCCTGCAAAGAGTTAATTTCATTTTGTGCTGATTCTTGCAGCTTTTGGAGCTGGCTATTTTTCATAGACAACTCGTGTTTCAGTCTAGAAATTTCGTCCACTAATGTCTTGATTTCACCATCTTCAATTGACTATTCGAAAAACATATATATTTAAGTGGATAATTTGTATTAAATAAACAATTAGGTGTACTCACACCACCAACACGTCTTTTATTTGAAGCCTCCATCCTTTGAAGCTGTTGTTTATATTGATTTCGTTCAACACCAAAATTATCTTGCAATTGTTCCATTTCGTCCCGTAATCTATTACATTGCTCTTGAACAGCTTGTAATTCATCTTCATATCTTGATAATTGTTCATTTTTGGATTGGTGATCTCGTCGTTCAGTTTGAAATTGATCGGTGATGTTTTGAATTTCGACTTCAAGCGCTTTAATATGTTCTTTTTCGTCGCGAATATCCGATTCAAGGGATTCTTTCGCCTGTGACAAGTGAAATTTTTATAAAAATTAAAATAAATGCTAATAATAAATAATAAATAAATAAATAAAAATACCTCATTAGAAATTAGGTATTTTCTTTGTAATTCGGATTTTTCCTTAAGTGCGACATTCTTCTCTTTGTTTAACTTTGATGTCTTTTCTTTTTCCGTTTGAAGCTCTCCTTGTAAATCTTTTATTTTTTGAGTCGCACGCTCAGATGTAACTTCTTTCTCTATAGAATTAAAATTATACTATTTAGAGATTTGCCCTACTTTAGATAAAAGAAAAAAATTTTTGTTGTAAACTTAATACAAGGCACAATGAATATAGACCTTTTTGTAATCGTCTCAATCGTGTTTCAAGCTCATTAATCGAAGTGTTTTTCTTGGCGTGTCGATTGGTTTCCTGTTAACATTAATTCAATTGAGTACATCACGAATTTATAATGAATTAAATATATATTTGAATAATAATATCATTAGTGTACCTTTTGCAAATTGTCTAATTGTTGTAATAATTCATTTTTTTCTTTTGTCAAAGCAGCCTTTTCTAAAGTCAAAGCTTTCTTATTAGCTGTAACTGATTGCAATTCCTCATCTAAGCTTCTATTATTTGAAATTAATTTTTCAGTTTCCTAAATAAGATAAACAAATGAGTGCATAAAAGAAAGAAGTCACCAAAAAAAAAAAAAATTGAATATATTAAAACCTTTTGTAGAGATTTTATTTCTCTTTCATAAGAATCTTTCTGTATGCGTAATTTTTTATTGAACGTTTCTTTTTCTTGTTTCCAAGAATTTTCTAGTTCTTTGTGGTTCATTTCCAATCCTGCTAACTGATACGCTTTAGTTTTTGTACTAGATTCTTTTAATAGCGATCGTTCTTCATTCCACCTATGTTTAAGAGCCTCCAATTCTTTAGCATGAATTTGCGTTATCTGTACGGATTTAGAGTCTAATTCATCGGAAGTATTATGTACCACATCCACCATTTCACTCAATTGAATTTCTAATCTTTGAATTTTGTCATTTGATTTTTGTAAGTCTTTAAGTAATTTTGCATTTTCAAGCTTAAGCGTATCTCTTTCAGACCGTAATTGATCAACTTCTAATTTCAGCTTATCTATACTATCCGTAGAGTTTATGGCACGAGATTTCCCAATCACCTTATCATGACCGGGCAATTTACTCCCTTGACCATTAATTTCAAGATTTGAACGTTTATTAGATTTCAAACTCTCTTTAATATCTTCTAAGGTTTCACCCTTTTTCAATAGATCTTGAGCTTCAGCCTCAATTAATTCAATTTGTTTTTCTAAACCTTCTTTTTCAGCAACCATTTGATTCAAATCAGTTCGTAAAGATTCATTTGATTGAGCGATTTTTTTAATTTCCTCAGCATATATTAAATTTTGCTTTGAAAGTTCATCATTTTTAGATTCATGACGTTCTTTTGAAGAATTTATGCTTTTACCAAGGAAATCTATATTCTTTGTTAGATCTTCAAGTTGTGATAAAAGTTTATCCTTCTCTAAAGTTAAACAATCTCTACGTGATTGTAATTCATTTCTTTGACCTTCTAAGTGTCTTGTTTGCTTTTCCAAATTTCTGTTTTGTTCACCTAGTTGCTTAAGACGGGGCTCCAATTTCTTACTTTCTCTTTCATACTCAGCAATTAATTCATCACCCTCGTTACGAGCAAGTGCTAGTTGTTCACTAAGTTGACCAACTTCTTCTTCAAGGCTATTTATTTGGTTTGCAGCCTCCTCTTTTGCATTCGAGTGATCAGCTTTTAATTTTCCATAATCAGCTTGTAAACTCTCTACTGTACTTGATAATTTTGTTTTCTCTTCCAATAATTCAGAAATTTTTTTGTTAAGTTCCTCGATCTGACTTGCAGTATCATCTTTTAGTTCATCAGACATATTATGACCTTTTTATATTAACGCGTGAACTTCAACTCTTTTGTGTCTTCATTTTGAGTACTTTTTAGCTTGTTTAGGTTGGCTGTACCCTATTGGCTCGTATCATCTAGTCGAATAAAAATTTGGGGTTGAGTCAGCCATTATATCAGTTATAATTTTATAATTGTACTCCTCGACATTTTATTACAGCAATACCCTGATATAATGACAGTTTTTGTATGTACGGACGTACGTACATACTGTACGTACCCAGGTTTAAGTACAGTACGTACCTGCGTTATTATTGCAGTATTGTCAGGATCAATTTTACAGCCTGATTGGCTAATAGTCACATGAATGTATGGATGTTGAAAATACTTCTATTTCATATCAGATATCAGATATAGAGCTAAAATAAATGATGATAGTCAATTTACAGTATATATTTGATATTATATTCATAAAGTAGCATTTATTCTAGATTTCTAAATCAGAATATGAATTCTATTAATTTCTTAAAGTGGGTCCCCCCGAATTTCTCAAGCCGAAAGGACTCCTAAACTAGTACCGAAATCCCGGAATTTCAAACCAATGCCGAAATCCTAAATCAATACCGATATTCCAAATCAACGTTATAGCTGATGCTAAAAACTTTAAATCAACATGGTTTTCCCGAAACCTAAACCAACTCCTAAATCCCAAAATAATGTCTGCACAGTCCAACATAAAGTCAATCATTTGAAGTTATTTTACACCAGATCTGGTCAAATGATCAACAATTGTGACCGGAATTATTATCGTTATATTATTAGCCGTGCAGATCAGCTGATACGCTAAATTTAAAGTTAAGAAATCACACACTTTGATTCATATCTGATATATAGATACTGTATATATACAGTATATATATATATACACTCCTTTTCACTACGTACATTTCGATAATAATAATAATTAATCGATTTTTGTAATAAGTTCAAATTTAACTTACTGGTTGTAATTACACATGTATTGAACAATTAGCAAGAAAAAGGTCTATTGACTATTTATCGATTACAATATCATACGTAAATATCATACGTAAATATCAACAATTATTTTGCACTCTTCCATCCTTTAGAGAATATGATTCAATTTTGGCATTTCCTAGAAGAAAATTAAAAAATTTTCAAAATTTTATAATGGAATGGAGTTGGATAAGCTGGATATACATGGATCTATCTCCGGGTAATGTCTCTTTAAATGTATGGTACGTATCTACGACCATGAATGCCTGAAAAGCTATATACAGTAATATTAAATCTATATAGTTATCCATAATAATAATGGTCACCTTATACTGTATAGTAGCTCTTCTCTTATACGGTACTTCCCAGAGCATTATAGTTTTTTTGTTAAAAAAAAACCTGAAATGCTGTATGCAGCGCTGTACGGTAACGAACAAAAAATCTTCAAAATATCCAGTTCAGTATACAGTATGAGTTAGCTTAACTGATGAGATCTCTTAATTGATCATTGCTTTAAATATTGCATAAGACATAAAAAATTTCCATTAATGTAAATGATGTGCATGCATAAACGGATACTATATAAAGAGCAATCTATTATCGTTTTCTGTTTCAATTTTTAATTCATATTTTAAAAGAATGGCAGACGAAGAATACGAAAGTGTACTGTTAGTATTGAGAGAATATTATGGTAAATTCGGAGAAAATTATTAGAATTCACCAAAGATAAGAAGGCATTTGACGACTAAATTCAATACTTTGGCCATTTTTAGTCTATAAAATTCCACCAAGAACGTCAAGCAGGGAGTACAGGTAAGAAATATTTCTCAAATTAATTCTCTCAGTAACATTCATTTTAATGAGTCATAATTCTTTTTAGAGCAGCAGAATGGGGTGACATGGATGCTTTTTTATGGAAGGGTCGATTAAGAATTATAGCTATTGGCGAAAAATGCTTTATTAGGTTGGAAGATGGTAATACGGGTATGAATTCAAGCTCTATTCTTCTTTATATAACTCATCCATTGAATTATTTGGTTTAATTACTTATATAATTATAAAATTTTGACATACAAATGTATGACTTGCTAGGTGAATTATTTGCACAAAGTTTATATGATCCAGATACTAACTCTCTCGAACCAGTACGTGATTCTTCAAGATATTTTGTTTTACGTATTGAAAATACTGATGGTAATGATTTATTTCTTCATGATAGCATTTATTACATAATTTTTTTTTTCTTTTTTTGGGGGGAAGGAATCACGTACATATTTAATTATATATTAGATAGGTCGTAGTGGGTATTTGAACAGGAATTACGTAATAAATGTCACTTAATAATATCATATTCTTTTTAAAATAAATGAATAATAGCTTTGATCAATTTGCAACGATAGGTAGACGTGCGCTCATAGGTATAGGGTTTCAAGAACGTTCAGAGGCATTCGACTTTCAAGTAACGTTACAAGATCATATTAAGTAAGTATAAATATAGTGTCTTGTATCTATTTCTCTAATTAATAATATAGCGCTGAAGCATTATTTATTTTTAGACATTTAAAAGCAGAGAAAGAAGCAATCGAGCACGCCAAAACTGCTGCATTGGCACCAAAAAAAGATTATAGCTTAAAAGAGGGTCAAACAATTAACATTAATCTCGGTCATGTAAGCTACTCTCCAATGCTTTATAAAATTTATTTATTTTTGTGTTTGATATTGACGAATTTTAATTAAACATAGAATAAATCAAGGCATTCAAAGTCTCAATCAATTGATCATGTTCCAATATCTGAAGAAACTGGAGGTTAGAAAGAAATATAGAATTTTATTGTTTATTATTTGTTTAACTAATTAATTAATTATTCATTAATCAATTTATTTATTTTGATTAATTAGTTATTCCACTTTTACCACCACCACCATCTACTACATCTATTAAACAAAGAAGCCATAAAAGATCACCATCTCCAAGTAATGATTTTGGGGAATTCAAAGGGTTCGAAGATTCATTTGACAAAATAAACATTGTCAACAATGCAGATAGCGTTATTGAAGATTCAAGTAATGCCAACAATGCAGATAGCGTTATTGAAGATTCAAGTAATGAGAAAACGTCTATTCAATAAAAATATACAATGCTGGCATCAATTAAATTTTTTAGCGCCGAATTTGATTTTTGATTTTTTAGATAATAAATATGACAAAATTTTGTAACTTTATTAATGTACTATATAAATTCTACTATAAGTTATACAAAGTGGTATATAGTTCAATGATATAAAGCATGAACTTATCATGTAATATAAAATTTTATTACTGTCCGTGGTGAAGCGATCTATGGACTATTATCATGTGATTATGTCTGTCTGTTCGCTCTACATGGTGTTACACATAATAAACCTTTTTTTATTTCAATTTTATACTTTTACGTATAGAGTTTAAAAAAAAAAGTTCATCAAACTTTATCAGGTGGGTGTATTGATCAAAGTTTTTGTAAATTCTAATATCTATTAAATAGAAGCTATATTGAAATACCATCTTCAATTGGATCACGCCAACGCAGCCGCAAAATCAAAAACATTAATTTTTCTTCAAAAAAAAAATTCAAATAATTATTAAGCAAAAGTTTATGCACTTTCAAAATTCTTTCTTGTAGTAAAAAAAAAAAAA